TTTCAATTCTTCCTCCAAGTACGAAGTTCAACAGGTTATGAGCCCAATGCCTGGTTCCATCGAGGAGAAGGTGACGGTGGCTGAAGACGCTGCCGCGACTACTCACGAAAGGGACACCAACCACAAAAAGAGAAAGTCGCGCCAGATGTGGGGATGCTGGCGCAGCTCGTAATCAAGCTCACAGACAAGGTTGAGAGCTTAGAACGGTCGCCGGGTGGTGCCCGGAATCCCCCGGCCGTGACGCCTCCCGGAGATGTGGAGGACATGAAGTAGTGTCTATAGGCAGGCACTCGAGCAAGGTGGAACCTCGGGATGCATCGAATGCAGCTGCACGAGTTGGGGGGCGGCTAACTTCGGAGGCATGGGCATCCAGACGCCGACTGCGTACGCGGGTCTTGGAGCTATGCATCGACCTGGTGATGCACCGTATCCACCTCAAGGCCAACCCACACTACCAACACCTGCTCCGCACTACCAAGCGTATCGATCTGAGCCGGTACAACGGAATGAGAAGGTACCATCGGCAAAAGACGGGAAGATTTACATGAAGAATTTTGACGGCACCAGGTGTACAAAGGCTTGGGGAGCGGATTTGAGCAGTGGGCTCTGCACTTCATCGAGCAGATCGAAACGGCTGAGCAGGCATGCGGATTTCGTTGGCCAGAGAGGTTCAAGGTAAATAAGTTTGGCCAACACTTGCGTGGGAAAGCAGAGCGCTTCTACCAGCAGCACGTCATGAGGTGGTGGGCAACACAACCGACGCTGTGGTTTGTGATGGAGCAGATGCATATGTCGTTTCGCACGACTATCTCTACACAACAAGGCATCACGCACAACAAATGTCCTGGAATGAACACTTCTTGTACTTGAACGCGCTGATGGTTGCGACTAACTCATCGCCGACATTGGTACTCGAAAACATCGTTAAGTACGCAGACCCGGATTTACGGTATGCACTGATGCCGCGAAGTGCGACATCACGCGCCCGGACCCACTCCAACAGGCAAATGAACTAGCTATGTGGGCGCAGATGATGTCCGATGAGAACAAGGCGCTCAAGCACATAGGAAAGGAGGTTGTCAACTCGGTGAACGAGCGGACGCATGATACCCGGCACTGCTATCATTATGACCAGGTTGGACATTTAATAAGAAACTGTCCAAACAGGAAGAAGAAGGATTCCGAGGAGAAAGAGAATCCTGGTGATAATGAGAAGGAGGCACGATTCGTCTTTGAACAATGACTCTCGCTCCGACACTAGTAATAGTTGGATTCTGGACTGTGGAGCTAGCCGCCATCTAGTCAACGATGTGGCACTGCTCACGAACACGGTGGATTGCAACAAGGACGACGGCTGCGTGATGCCTGATGGATACCCAATGAGTGTATCCAAGAAGGGAACACTGACACTGACAGCAATGGTGGACAGTGTATGCACTGAGATCGTGCTGACAGATGCATACTGTGCGCCTCTTATTTCATTCGGGAAGTTGGTCGAGAAAGGCTGTATGTTGACCCAGCACCCATGGAACGTTGGCGTTGACTAAGGGCAAAAGCGTTGTGTTTTACGTGAAATTACGTAATGGAGTATTAGTGGCGCAAGTCGAGACGCCAGTGATTGGCACTCGACGCTTGGAAGAAATGGTCATGTCCGTCTTGGATGATACAGTAATAGCGCAGCCAGTGATGGAGGACACGCTTATGGGGTTTCATGTGCGTCTGGGGCATCTAGCACTTGACACGGTGGAACGCATTGGGAGGGACCCGCGTTCTGGCATAAAGATCGCGGATCGGACTCGTGAACTATGTTCAACATGTGCTGAAGGGAAACAGACTAGAGCACGCCAGCCAACGAAGGACACTGGTGACCACGCACTGATAGAGAAATTGGGTGGCGTCATCTGTAGCGACCTCAAAGGTCCAATGACGCCTCTCGACCGCCTAGGGAATCGCTACATGGCTAACTTTGTCGACCATTACTCCAATTACTGCAAAATCTTTCTGGCGAAGACAGAAGATCAAGCTGCGGGGAAGTTCAAGGATTTTCTCGTTGAGTTTGAGAAGCGTTTTAGCTGTCGGATCCACATATTACGCACAGACGGCGGAGGAGAATATCGTGTTGTCGATCTCTTTTGCAAGGAAAAAAATGGTGTTGCTCATCAGATCGCTGAAGCTGGCAACCAAGCCGCCAATGGTAAGGCAGAGCGCATGCACCGCACGGTGCTCAACATGGCCCGATGTATGATCTTTGGAGCAGAGATGCCCGCGAGTTTCTGGGGGGACGCCGCAGAATACGCTGTGTACATACTCAACCGTAGTCCGACAAGAGCAAATGAGTGGTGAAGGTCTCCGATTGAGGTACTGACCGGTCGTGCACCGCTGGTGAATGACATAGTTGCATTTGGCAGTAAGTGCATGGTGTTTCGTGATCCTGGCAAGCGTGCAATACAGAAGCGGTCTTGTGAAGCGCGCATATTAGGAAAGGATGAGTCGACTAAAGGCCACAGAATCTACCTCCCATCCCAGCACAAAGTGATCGTGACTCGTCACGTAAAGAACATGCAGTTGCTGCAGGCAACCGAGTCTCCTCCGCCAACGAATGCCACAGGGTATACAGATCCGTCGTGCATGCCGGAGAGTCGCGATCAAACAGAGAGTCGCGAACTGCCCCGCCGCCCACAGCATCAGCGACACAAGTCCCGCCGTCAAGCCGAAGCAGATAAAGAAGCTGAGGCAAGCACAACACTATCGGGTGACAAGCCGCGCGCGATGGCAAGTGCAGTGATGGACGATGCTGTGTCGGAGAAGTCCCCCACGGCGGCTCCGGAGCCGAAGAAATATCGTCAGGCACGGAAGCCCTCCGAGAGTGTGCAGTGGGCTGTAGCTGAACAAGAGGAAATTGCTGCACTGGAGCGAACAACACGTGGCGATTGGTGAGGTGTGACCGCAATACTCAGCGACTACATACTAAGCGGGCATACATGAAGAAACTTACTGGAGAAGGCAAGCTCGAGCGCTACAAAGCTCGGTTGGTAGTCTGTGGAAATGATCAGGTCTGGGGAGTAAACTTCTTCCTGGTCTTCTCTGCACTGCTTGCTATGGTCAATGCGAAGCTAATCTTCGTACTCGCACACATTTGGGGAGTGAAGGCCCGCCATGGAGACGTACCCAATGCCTCCGTGAAGGCTCCCACGGAGGAGGAAGTGGTGATTATTCTGTATGTTCCGGAAGGGCTCATTGTGACGAAGGAACAACTAACTGAGTTGGGCGCGTAAAGTACGGATGAGGTTGGACTGCCGCTCGACCGCAGCCTGTACGGTTTGGACGGCTCTGGCACAAACATCTACATTGCACACTAGTCAACATGGGCTACAAACAGTGTATTACCGACTCGTGCATTTACTTCCTGGCCGACAAGGGTGGGGTCACTGTTGTTGAAACCTACGTAGACGACCTCTTAGTCACGGGGACTAGCGAGAGAAGAGTTTCGCGCTTCTTTGCGGACATGAAGACACTAGAGTTGAAAGACCTTGGCCCTGCGAACAAATTCCTAGGCATGCGAATTGCGTGTGAGGATGATCTGGGATACCACTTCGATCAAGACGGGACTATCGTAGAAGTACTGTACAAGTTTGGCCTTCAAAATGCTCATGCAGTACGTGCACCCATCGGAGGAGAGCAGCCTGGAGAAGATAACCTAGCTGAACTACTACCCACTGTGCCGGGCAGTGCTCCGCGCAATATAATTTTTTTCAATGGAAACCGGATTTTGTCATAAACAATTGCAATTTGACCATGTACCATAACAACGGAGATAACGCAACACGAATGTTTTTTTTTTACAAATATATCCACTGAGTCCTAGTTCCCTGAGCTGCACACTCAGACTACGTCTAGCTCACATCACTCCTCTTCTTGTCGCCGTCTTCGACTGCATTTAGAGCTGTTTTACATGTCTGGAGACATTGATTCGCCCAGCCCCTTCTTCGGTGTTCGGGGTTGATGAAGAATACCTGCAACAGTTGCTTCATTCCAAAGCGACCGGTTCTTTTGCAAGAACAAAAGCTGCTCTAATGTCTCTGGATGCATTGACTGACGTCGATCAGAGTACACCAGCCCTGCATGAGAAAACAAACGCTCAACGACGTTTGATGTGGGCGGTATCCAGTCCATGCTCATATACTGAGAGTCTGCCATTGTGACAGCAATGTCGGCTAGCTCAGCGTCAGCAAACGAAAGCTCTTCTTCGTCGCTTGACTCGTCATCTAGAGACCCCTCATCTCGCAGAAGCCGCTTCAGTGCTGTGCGCTCTGCCGGCTCCAGTTCTTTCTCGTTGCCGCTCAAAACCTTGACTACACCACTTTCAAAGTGTGGGAACGCTACGACGCGCGCATCTGGCGTGAGATAACGCTGGCCAGAGTCGGGGAATGACTCACGAAGTTTGTCAAACAGCACCCGGACATGGTTAAGGGTAAGTCCATTCTCTTCTTGCAGCTTTTTGCTCACTGACTCAAACTTTTTAAGCTCTTCCAGCAGCGATCTGAGGCGGTTTTTGTCCGCCGCCGTTAGCAAGAGCGGCGCCAAATCTGGGTCCGTGTCGTCTAAGTACGGAGCGAGCTCCAAGTATCGCTTGATCATTGCAAAAGTACTTGACCAACGAGTCTCGTTTCGAAGCAGTGGCGTCAACAAATCGTCGTCACGCAGTACAACCCGCTGTTTTCCCGTACGCAGACACTTCACAACAGCGGCAACCTTTTCCAGGAGGACTGCGTACGGCTCCAGATGTCGTTCAGCTGCCAGTTGGAGACGATGACTGGCGCACCCTACAAGAGGGATTTTGAGCTTCTTGCCGACCGATACATTTACACTCGCATTGTCCCCCACAAAGAAACAAAGTTGGGAAAAGTCAATCTCGTAGTCGTCCAATATTTCATCGAACAAGTCGATAATAGCATTGGACCCGAAATGGCGGGTTTTGCGCGGCTTTAACGAAAGTAGATACATCTCGCGCGAGGAACCGAGTGATGGATCATCTGGGGCCGTAATTGCGAAAGTGCCGAGAAAATGGTATCCATTTTCAGACCAGCCGTCGAAGACAAGGCCCAGTCTTTGATCGACTAGCTTATCTTTCAGCTCCGCGCGAACCACATCGACAAGGAGCCGAATATACTCTTTCATTGCTTTGACATTGGTCCTCGGTAAGTTTGTGTTTTTTCGAATCAGCTCGCTTTCGCAAAAACTTAATGGTCGATTCTCCATGACGATCTACTCGATCCAGTCGTGGATACCCTTTGCGTGTGGACTGATGTCCAAAACAAGCGAAGCCGTACCATACTGCAGAATATGTTTGTACGCCGTTTCGACGGTCACTTGAGAATGGGCACGACGTAGGTGGTCGACCAAGTTGGTGTACCCTTTGCCGTTGGCTTGGCTACGGTGTTTGGCGCAGATTCGACAGCGCAATCGGTCGTCAGGTGCAGGCGAGAAGATGGTAGATGTCAGCTGCTTGTTCGTCGGAGGTGCCGTCCACTTTGATGTCGCGTTCATTGTGGTCGAGTGTAGATCCCGGTGGCAGCAAAAGCTTGCGCAGAGAGGACAAGAAGGGCGACAAATTGGGCTTGAAGCAGTCGATCGGGGTCTTCGGCTTGGGGGCACTTGGTGTCGAGCTCGCGAATTGAAGAATGACTGCGTAGATAGTGAACGACAGCTCTTTTAGCGTGGGCTGCTCGTGGTTGAGGTCTGGAGCTCGTTGTGGACCTCGTGTGCTACGTCAACAGTGTCTTGGGTTCTTCTAGTGCCTTCACTGGACCGCTTCCTACGGCAAACTGCGGCTGATCCCATTTTCGAAATTAAGGGGGCCCATCACCTCGAGGGAATTGGAAAGCACAATCACAATACATAAAAAAATCAAATTAATTTTTTCCGAACACTGGTGCCGGGAGAAACGCTACCGACGTTACCGACTGTAGCTAATTTCCAGTCTGTCATTGGAAGTTTGCTCTGGATCGCGCGGCACGCGACCTGATATCATGTTCGCCGTTCACTGCGTAACCCAACGATGACCGATTGAAAGATGGCAAAGCGCGTCCTGAGGTACTTGAACGGAACTCGGAAAGCCAAGTTGCGCATGAAAGACGATGGCGGACCACAGTGACCGTTACGAGCGCAATCCTACACGGATGCTGACTTTGTTGGTGATGTCACTGATCAGAAGTCGGTTAGTGCGGCAATCGTGCAGGTCAATGGGATGACCATTTCGTGGGAATGCGAGAAGCAGACTTTTGTGGCATTGTCGACCACTGAAGCCGAGTATGTGGCTGGAACGGATGAAGCTCAGGAGCTGCTTGGTGTGAAGGAGCTTGTGGGCGAGATTGGACTTAAGATGGATCTGCCGATGGTGATGCACATGGATAACCAAGCGGCGATAGCTCAAGTGACGAGTGAAGCGAGCTCGGCAACGACCAAGCACATGGACGTGAAGTTGAAGTTTATACAAGACTCGGTGCAAAAAGGAGAATTGAAGCCACAATACGCGGAAAGCGATTCGATGCTGGCCGATTTGCTCACAAAGCCATTGGCAGCGACACGAGCTAAAGACATGAGGGAGGCCATTGGGTTAACGACGGCTGCTGCCAGGCTGTCCATCGAAGCTCTGGGGAGGAGTGTTGGAAGCTGACAATGTCAGTCTGACAGGTTACAAATCTGCGCTGTTCGGCTACAGAGAAATGCAGAAGTAACGTTTCCATAGCACACCTAGACAATTCCATGGCTAAGCCCGCACTAATACGCTTACTTTCCAATTCTTCCTTCAAGTGCGAAGTTCAACACCCATTGCTTTCTACCTGGAGCTTCAGTGCACCAACGCCTTGCGCATGTACTGAAACTCAATCTAGCGTTGCCTCATCAAGCTCTAGATAGTTTATTAATAGTGGTCTTAAGCCCACCTACCACGAACATCAACAACAAACCAAAACCGTAAACCAGGAACAGCGCAAACTCATCGGCTAGATGAACTTCAGAAATCAATACCTTCTTCAACTCAATTCGATACTGGGCCAATTCACACCACCAAATGAATACCCCACTAATTTTGATTCAATTCCGTAGGAATATAAATGAATTTACTTGGTATATGTATTGCAAGAAACTGGGTGTAAAACACAACTCACGGACATGAATTAATCCCAGTTGGGCTGTACGTTACTTCGTACCGAAGCACTACCAGTAAAATACACACTACTTGCTAACTGTTGGTCGTGAAACACTAACACTTTTTTTGAAATAAAATAAAACTAGTGATGTTTGCCTACACGTTGAACTTTAGAATCCTAGACTGGTTCGCATCGTGATTTCGCCTATGGTCTTTCTATTTACAACGATGTTTCAAAAATCAGTTATAATAAATAAATAAAAATAAGTCGCGCACTCTCCCTGATAACAATAGGGGGTCGTTAAAGGTAGCCGCGGTCGTTGATAGGAAGGCTCAATCATGGGACCAGCGTAGCCAGAGCAATCTAGAAAACAACAAGCAAGAATAACTGTAAAAACACTCTTCTTACTTGTGTTAGCGTTGTCCTAGGATCTGTACGCTACCGGGAAGATTTACGATTGAATGAAAAACTCGAACGTCGGCCACCTGCCGCGTTCGCACCAATATGCATCACTCTCCATCCTGAGCACTCACCTGGCTCCTTGGACATGTCTTTCGTCCTTCCTTCACTTTCGAGGTGCAGCTCAGTCTCTCACGTCACCCTTCCTTGGCGACTGCTCTCCACGCCTGCAACCTCGCACGTCGTCGCCCTCGCCGACCTCAGGTCATCAACGCGGCTCCAGTCTTCAACTTGTTCTCACACCATGTACGCCACACCAGGTGTATCCATATCACAAAAGGATTCACCCAAGCCTGGGTCAAATACCGGACTCGAGCCCAGGACCCGGCCATCACCTCCTGGCCGGTCGGCCAGCCACCCGGACTCGGGACAAATACGCCTATTGGCCTGGTGAGTTTCTCCATATCAGGTGGATGAACTGCCGTTGGCTTCGCTGTGTATCTGTTTTTCTTTCGATTGCATTTTAGCTTCGTTTGAGAACTAATGCCGTGCGTTGCCCGGGAAGCTCTGGATATTTTTTGCATTAAAATAAAAAAATGATAAAAAAGCAACATTAAAAATGTGCTTTCTAAAAACTTTTTTTAAATTTTTTTTAAAGTCTACTAGAGGAGTCTAGCTAGGTGCTTGTTGGCTATGCGAAAAAGTAATAGATGAGATGAGGCAGAAGCTTATATCCTTAATACCGGCATCCGTTTAAAGCGAAATGCCCCCAACAAGCAGGAAAACTATAATATACTTATTATCTCCGCTCTATGTGCATTGCAGTACGAAGGGAATGAGAGACCAGAGTGGCGCCTTCGACGAAATTTTGAGTAG